AAAATGATTGAAAAATATATTTAATTCATATATAAAAAAGAGCAGCTGTGACTGATGCTTATTTATATTAAATAATAATTTTTTTTATATCAATATAAAATTTATAAACTATATAGATAAGAATTAGATATTAATTACAATATTTTTATCATATTCAACTTACTTTTTACATTTAATAAATGTCATAGTATTCATATCACTTGCAAAGATCTATATGAGAAAATTAAATTCACTGCTATATCAAAAATTTGATTATTTGCATATCACTAAATATGATTTTTAAAGACTTTTTTATATGATTTAAAATATAATACTTATATCAGCAAATATAGCTGAATTTATAAAATGAAAAATTGCTAAGAAGGTATTAAAACAGTTATTCAAATATCAATACAAAGTAAATATAGTCAAATTCAATCTCACAAGATTTATACAGACTGTTTTATTAGAAAATTAATTAAATTCAATATTAAAATCACTATTTAGTACTTCTTAACCTCTCTTTCTTATAAAAAGCAAAGTTAGCTGTTCTAACTGTGCTATTAAAACAAATACTTATTTATTTTTTTAAATATACTAATTTATATATAATCTATAATATATTTATTTAATATTTAATAGCTAGTAGTAATTCAATTCATAATTGTTTCAAAATTCACAATTTAGCAGAGCTGTAAGATAGTAGATTAGTGAAATCATTAAGTAGCAGAAATCATTGAGTAATCAATCACAGTATCTATTCATGAATTAGAAAAGACAAAATCACATTTTTATTGCATGATTCATGTTAGAAATATTTTTGAAACTAAATTTGAGCACTCTATTGGCTCAAGTTACTATAGTTATATATTAAACATCATCAGTAGATAATTTGCAGCTAGAACTGCTCTTCTCAAAAACAAGCTAAAGTTCATGATTATACTTCTTATCAGACAGTTTGCCTTCAACAAAACTTTCCCACATCTACTTCTTAGTAAAAGGGTATAATATTACCAATGTCCTCAGAACAATACTTAGATAGCAAGGGGAGGATATTCTTATAGAATAATCTGAAGAGGCCCGTAGGACTGGAGAGCGCCAGGGGTATACCAGAATGTTCCTGTTGCCCATGCCTGTTCCATGGTCCTCCAGTCGTGGCATTGTTTCTTTGACATCTGCTGATACAGCAAAGATGGATTGATTTGTCTCCTCAGCTTTCAGGATGGTCATTAATTCTGTTTGAAGTATATCATTTTCGTCTGTATTAATCTCATCCACGCCCTTATTTGTCAGCCAGGAAGGAGGTTCAACCATTTCAATTGGCTGAGAACTTTGCCCATTCAAGATCAACTAGACATGAGATATGCCAATTATCATTGACAAAGATTTTGCTTCAATGCAAATCTGTTAGCGTAAATATGAAAGGTCCGCGGCAGAATTTCTGCTTGAAAGAGTGATGGAAATATTGTTCTCATTGACGCCAGCGCCGACATCTGATACTGCAATCCTGTAGGTTATTCATAGAATTAGGTTGATTTCGGAGGCGGCTGTCATGAATTGCA